AGTTATCTGTTAATTCCACTGTCCAAGTTCTCCACTGCTTTAACCGGGTATTGAACTCACAATCTTTGGCTCCTATAACTCGATCTGATTAACGCCTTTATCCACTGTATGTGTGTGTGTGTGTGTATTTATTTTCCTATATATATATATATATATATATATATATATATATATATATATATATATATATATATATATATATATATATATATATATATATATATATATATATATATATATATATATATATATAAGAAAATAAATAAAAGGATTCCAACTAAAATAAATATAATAAATATTTTATATAATGACTTAGTGATAATAATTAACCCATTGGTGGATTCATGCCTTTTAACTATTTTAACAAAGAAAGGAAGAGCCATGCCCTACTTTGGTATTTGTAAAATTCTGGTGCCCCCCTCGGTAGTAATTTAATTCTTACTTATTCAAAATTTTACTGCAATTAACGTGAAGCAAACTTAAAAGGCCATTGACTTAGCGATTAAGCAAGCCTCCAAAGACCATGGCGTCCATGAAAGAGAAAAATTTAAAAACTAAAAGATAGTTCAAATATATATCATTTCAAAACATACAATAGAGAAGTAAAATCCAGAAATATAAAATATTTGAATGAAAGCTTATTCCGTAGTATACTTTAACCATTTTAATCATGTAATAATAATGCAAAATGAAATCTGAGCTCATCACAAAATGACTTAGTGAGATCCTTGATCATGCTTGTTACAAATAGATTTTCTATTAGACACCAATTTAGTCATCTTAAGCCTCAAGTTTCCTCGTTTATTGATATCCAGTTGTTTTCTTTTCTTCAATAACAAAGCATTTACAGCACTAAAGCCACATTCAGCTAAATATGAAGATAGAAATGGTAACAACAAATTAATGTTAATAACTCATTCTTGAATTGCCCTCTTGTTCTGTTGGTATGGTAAGTTGAAGGGTGCACATCCTACGCATGCCCCATCGGTAGGGCATGCGCCCCATGTTGGGGGTCATTGACTTCTATGAAAAGATTGGAAATTGATAGAAATGAGTTCAAAATTGAGCAGAGACATGTCAGAAGAAAAAAAAAATCAAAAACAGGATCAGCTGAATATTTACGAAGCATAGCTTAGTTTAACAAGGACAAATGGGAGGGAAATCAAAGAAAGACTGTGTTGCGCCAATATTGCAAATAAAAAGAAACTTAGTGAAATTGAACATTATTAATACCAGCGGTAAATACCTGTCTTGAGCAATTTAAGTACCCCCATGGCAAATGTTCTAATGAGCTCCATTCTTTAGTTTCAGCAGTTCAAATCTTTACAATTCAGATACGCCATACCACTTCCATATAGTCGAATCATTCTCATTTCCACCGTATTCTAAATTTCTAATCAAACAGCTTTTCCCCTAAGAACTGTCCCTTGTAGAACGGACATCTATGTGTGCCTACCTTTTTCATTTCATACTATCTCCTCTATGACTATAACCCTCTAGCTTTCAATGAATCTCGAGCATTGTATTAGGATGAATTTAGTACGAGAAACGTTATTACCCAAGTACAGCACAAGTTCAATTTAAAATTAGGAAGTTGTCTTGAAAAATCGTAATTTTGACATCTTGATATTCATCTCTGATTGAACACTTACTGGTGGATCTGGTGGGGAAATGTGCAGCTCTGGACATTTTGATAAAATTCAGTTATCTTGGGACATGACTACTGCCGAAACATGAAACTCATGAAAACAATTGAAACCTAACGATTTGATTTGTTTTGTTTTACGGTATATCAACCTCAAAGGGTTATTTAATGCCGACAAAATTTTTATTGTTGGCAATGTTTTTTATTCAAAAATGTATTTCTGGCGATATTTTTTTATTCAAAAATGTATTGCTGGCAATATTTTTAATTTAAAAATGTATTGCGGGCAATATTTTTTATTCAAAAATGTATTGCTGGCAATATTTTTTATTCAAAAATGTATTGCTGGCGATATTTTTTATTCAAAAATGTATTGCTGGGAATATTTTTAATCCAAAAATGTATTGCTGGCAATAATTTTATTTAAAAATGTATTGCTGGCAATATTTTTTATTCAAAAATGTATTGCTGGCGATATTTTTTATTCAAAAATGTATTGCTGGCAATATTTTTAATCCAAAAATGTATTGCTGGCAATATTTTTTATTTAAAAATGTATTGCTGGCAATATTTTTAATTTAAAAATGTATTGCTGGCAATATTTTTTATTCAAAAATGTATTGCTGGCAATATTTTTTATTCAAAAATGTATTGCTGGCAATATTTTTTATTCAAAAATGTACTGCAGGCAATAATTTTTTTTCTTCAAAAATTTATTGCTGGTAATAATTGTTTTCAAAGTGTTTGTTTTTTTCCAAAAATATATTGCTGTTAACTTTTATTTTTTACAAAGTATTTCTGAAATTAAAACCCACTTCCACACCTTCACATCGCTTCGACCCCAGTTTGAGGGTCAACTACTCACCCATATTTGAGACCCCCAACAGGTGCTACCACCCTGGGCCAGGGCGGACCCGGGAACACCAGCAGTTAAAAGGAGATTCCACACTCGTCAAAACTTCCTGATCAGAGGCCTTGCTGTTGGACGACTGAAACCTAACGGAATTCTTTAATAAACTTGTGCATCTTTTAACAATTTATTCCATATACACATTGTTTTTGCATACGACCTTTAATTGAATGAAGTGAAAAAAATGATTTCTAAAAAGAAAAAAATAACTAATATGAAGTAGTATCGGAAAGTTTTAAGATTAGCTGAAATGATTGTCCTGTTCAACGGAAATAAGCATGTAGTTAACACTGTTTGCTACCTAGCCTACTGCGCTAGTCTTTATGAAAATGAATACTGAATGTTTCTTTATAAGGAAACGGCTAATATCACGATTAACATTGTATTTAAGTTTGTAAGTAGATACTAGGTGGCCATCTTGGTTTAGGGGCAGAGAGGGATATATCTCTATAGAGAAAGGCAGCATATTTCAGGCCCCGCCAACAGAGCAGAATTTTGGAGCACTATCTTTATATGACAGTAGCTACTAGTAATATCAGTGGACTAGACAATTGGTAAATATGAACAAATAAATAAATTGAACCGAATAACAGCAAATAATATGTCCATATAAAAAATAAACAGATCTTTCAACGAAAAACAAGACGTTAAAGGCCTTGTCTCCATTGGAAGCAAAGATATGAAAAGGTTAATAAAATAGCTGGCGAGTTTTTCAAGACCATTTTATTGTTATCGAATTTGTCTTCTGTTTTACCGCACAGAAATCTTTTGCACCCCGTGTTTGAATTTGACAGCAAATTCCATCTGAAGGAAGTTTTTAGAAATGTCAGCTCTTTTAATCTGTCTATCTTTCCACTTATTTCATTTGCAACTCAAATTTTTCCGTCTGACACGTGACATTTACACCGAAGAAGTTGTTTCCCAAAAGTGCTGAGTAACACCCTTCTCCACCTTGCATGAAATGTGCAAACCGTTTGTAGTAAAGGAAAGCAAGAAGAAAGGATTAGTCAGGGCCGTTGCAAGGGTATCGTGGCCCTGCACCCCGAATCTATGATACGTTCACCCCCCACTCTACTTCATCTCAATTTTGCATAAAGTAGTTGATGTGAAGTCGAAGTATAGCACTAGTCAGTCGCTAAGCTTGCCTTCCTCCTACATTATTCTCAGTGACGAGTTATATAGTCTTTCTCTTGCACTTATGCAAATTAGGCATATTAATTTGCCAGTATCACTACATCTCCCTGAAACGTATAGTTTTTATACCTCTAGTAGTTCTTGTACTTCTTCTCGTGATAGTTTCATTACTTTGCTCTACTTCTCTCTTCCTGTATTTCTTTCTCTGGGAGACCTAGATCTGTGCCGCGCTAAGCTGTAATCATAGGCATCTTCTTGCATTATTTGATCTTCGTACGAAATTTCAAACTCATTCTGTTCCACTTGATCCTGCATTATTTCGTCTTCTGATGTTTCATTCTGTAACAGTTGTTCTAAAAAATCATTAATGGATGGAATCGTAGACATTTCTTCATCATTTTGCTCTTCATATTCACCCTGGGTCCTCATTTGATCTGCATGGGCTAATACAGTAGTATTTATATAAAATACACATATTGTAACCTAATTATGTACAATAATGAATCATGTGCGACATAGGTGAACAATTCAACAAGAAAAATTGAAAATAAATACAATGTATATAAATACTAATTAGAGACCTGTCAATTCTAAAAAATAAAAATAAAAACAAAAATAAAACAACCCCCCTCCCCCAAAAAAACCCATGACGGTGCAGGACAGGAAAATAAATCAATATTTTGCAGCAGTTTTAACACCAACTGGAGATTTTTCTTAAAAAGTTGAATAATTTTAACACATTTGACATTGTGGATCAAAATAAAAAAAATGGAATTTAATGCTTTTTCCAGACTTAGCATGTGCAAACCAAATTCACGAATTTGAGCGGAAAAAAATCAAAACAAACCCAGAATAACGTCAATTTTTAATTCTTTACCAGTTGTGCTTAATTTAATTCGTGACGTATATAAATTTAGATAAAAAGACAGCGAGGGTCGCAAAGCACTGGCCAGGTACCCCTATCACGTTTGCTCCTCTCCCTCAGGTTCGGGGGTTTCGGAGATAGTAAGCACCATCTCTGGGACTAGTCATTAACATTAGGAAAAAAAATGGGCGCTATTACACTTTCGACCCCCAGCAGTCAGTATGGACTGCATTGCTGATTGTAGAGAAGAGGTAAAGCTTATCGGAACTCAATTAGCAATTCGGAAGAGTCCGAAGACCAGTTGTGGAAACACTAAGAAAGGATTTCGAGATTTCCAGCCCAAACTGGGGTTGACTGGATTCAGTTTTACCGTGATGTGTGCTACCATCAGAGTGATAAAGAAAAACAAGAAAAAGTTTTAAAATGCGTGTTTGAGGTTCTGAACATTATACACAGGAAATAAGGAACAGGAAAAAAGTAATCAAAGAAAGAAGTAGCGGGAAAAAGCATGACGGAGAGAGGGGGGTGGAAAGCATGGAGGAGAGAGGGGAGTGGAAAGCATGGAGGAGAGAGGAGAGTGGAAAGCATGGAGGAGAGAGGGGAGTGGAAAATATGGAGGAGAGAGGGGGGTTGAAAGCATGGCGAGAGAGAGGAGATGGAAAGCATGGCGGAGAGAGGGGTGGAAAACAAGGCGGAGAGAGGGGAGTGGAAAGTATGGCGGAGAGAGGGGGTAGAAAGCATGGAGGAGAGAGGGGGTAGAAAGCATGGCGGAGAGAGGGGTGGAAAGCATGGAGGAGAGAGGGGAGTGGAAAGCATGGCGGATAGAGAGGGATGGAAAGCATGGCGGAGAGAGGGGTGGAAAGCATGGAGGAGAGAGGGGGTGGAAAGCATGGAGGAGAGGGGGGTAGAAAGCATGGCGGAGAGAGGGGATGGAAAGCATGGAGGAGAGAGGGGAGTGGAAAGCATGGCGGAGAGAGGGGATGGAAAGCATGGAGGAGAGAGGGGAGGGAAAGCATGGAGGAGAGAGGGGAGGGAAAGCATGGAGGAGAGAGGGGGTAGAAAGCATGGAGGGAGAGGGGTAGAAAGCATGGCGGAGAGAGGGGGGTGGAAAGCATGGAGGAGAGAGGGGAGTGGAAAGCATGGCGGATAGAGGGGGATGGAAAGCATGGCGGAGAGAGGGGGTGGAAAGCATGGAGGAGAGAGGGGAGTGGAAAGCATGGAGGAGAGAGGGGGTAGAAAGCATGGCGGAGAGAGGGGATGGAAAGCATGGAGGAGAGAGGGGAGTGGAAAGCATGGCGGAGAGAGAGGGGATGGAAAGCATGGAGGAGAGAGGGAGTGGAAAGCATGGAGGAGAGAGGGGAGTGGAAAGTATGGCGGAGAGAGGGGGTAGAAAGCATGGAGGAGAGAGTGGGTAGAAAGCATGGCGGAGAGAGGGGTAGAAAGCATGGAGGAGAGAGGGTAGAAAGCATGGCGGAGAGAGGGAGTGGAAAGCATGGAGGAGAGAGGGGGTGGAAAGCATGGAGGAGAGAGAGGGGATGGAAAGCATGGCGGAGAGAGGGGTGGAAATCATGGAGGAGAGGGGGTTGGAAAGCATGGCGGAGAGAGAGGGGATGGAAAGCATAGTGGAGCGAGGGGGTGGAAAGCATGGCGGAGAGAGGGGAAGGAAAGCATGGTGGAGAGAGAGGGGATGGAAAGCATGGCGGAGAGAGGGGTGGAAAGCATGGAGGAGAGAGGGGTGGAAAGCATGGCGGGAGGAGAGAGGGGATGGAAAGCATGGCGGAGAGAGGGGTGGAAAGCATGGCGGAGAGAGGGGGGTGGAAAGCATGGCGGAGAGAGAGGAGATGGAAAGCATGGCGGGAGAGTGGGTGGAAAGCATGGCGAAGAGAGGGGAGTGGGAAAGCATGGCGGAGAGAGAGAGGGGATGGAAAGCATGGTGGAGAGGGGGGTAGAAAGCATGGCGGAGAGAGAGGGGAAGGAAAGCATGGTGGAGAGAGAGAGGGATTGAAAGCATGGCGGAGAGAGGGGGTGGAAAGCATGGAGGAGAGAGGGGGGTGGAAAGGGGGCGGAGAGAGAGGAGATGGAAAGCATGGCGGGAGAGGGGGGTGGAAAGCATGGCGGAGAGAGAGAGGGGAGGGAAAGCATGGCGGAGAGAGGGGGGAAAGCATGGAGGAGAGAGGGGGTAGAAAGCATGGCGGAGAGAGGGGGTGGAAAGCATGGAGGAGAGGGGGGGGGAAAGCATGGGGAGAGAGAGGGGATGGAAAGCATGGCGGGAGAGAGGGGTGGAAAGCAGGGGAGGAGAGATGGAGGGTGGAAAGCATGGAGGAGAGAGAGGGGATGGAAAGCATGGCGGAGAGAGGGGTGGAAAGCATGGAAGAGAGGGGAGGGTGGAAAGCATGGCGGAGAGAGGGGATGGAAAGCATGGTGGAGAGAGGGGGTATGGAAAGCATGGCGGGAGAGGGGAAGGAAAGCATGGTGGGAGAGAGGGGGATGGAAAGCATGGAGGAGAGAGGGGGTGGAAAGCATGGAGGAGAGAGGGGGGGGTGGAAAGCATGGAGGAGAGGGAGGAGATGGAGGAGAGGGGGGAAAGCATGGAGAGAGGGGTGGAAAGCATGAGGGAGAGAGGGGGGAGAAAGCATGGCGGAGAGAGGGAGATGGAAAGCATGGCGGAGAGAGGGGTGGAAAGCATGGCGAGAGAGAGGGGGTGGAAAGCATGGCGGAGAGAGGGGATGGAAAGCATGGTGGAGAGGGGGTAGAAAGCATGACGGAGAGAGGGGGAAGGAAAGCATGGTGGGAGAGAGAGGGGATGGAAAGCATGGCGGGAGAGGGGGTGGAAAGCATGGAGATGGAGAGGGGGTGGAAAGCATGGAGGGAGAGAGGGGGATGGAAAGCATGGAGGAGAGAGAGGGGGTGGAAAGCATGGCGGAGAGAGGGGAGATGGAAAGTATGGTGGAGAGAGGGGGGAAAGCATGGAGGAGAGAGGGGTAGAAAGCATGGCGGAGAGAGGGGTGGAAACCATGGAGGAGAGAGGGGTGGAAAGCATGGCGGAGAGAGGGGATGGAAAGCATGGCGGAGAGAGAGGGGGTGGAAAGCATGGCGAGGGAGAGAGGGGGAGGGAAAGCATGGCGGAGAGAGAGGGATGGAAAGCATGGAGGAGAGAGGGGTGGAAAGCATGGCGGAGAGAGAGGAGATGGAAAGCATGGCGGAGAGAGGGGGTGGAAAGCATGGCGGAGAGAGGGGAGTGGAAAGTATGGCGGAGAGAGGGGGTAGAAAGCATGGAGAGAGAGGGGTGGGAAAGCATGGCGGGAGAGAGGGGTGGAAAGCATGGAGGAGAGGGGGTGGAAAGCATGGAGGAGAGAGGGGGTAGAAAGCATGGAGGAAGAGAGGGGATGGAAAGCATGGAGGAGAGAGGGGAAAGCATGGCGGAGAGAGGGGAGTGGAAAGCATGGAGGAGAGAGGGGTAGAAAGCATGGAGGAGAGAGGGGATGGAAAGCATGGAGGAGAGAGGGGATGGAAAGCATGGCGGAGAGAGGGGGTGGAAAGCATGGAGGAGAGAGGGGGGTGGAAAGCATGGAGGAGAGAGGGGGGTGGAAAGCATGACGGAGAGAGGGGTGGAAAGCATGGAGGAGAGAGGGAAGTGAAAGCATGGCGGAGAGAGAGGGGGTGAAAGCATGGAGGAGAGAGGGGTAGAAAGCATGGCGGAGAGAGGGGATGGAAAGCATGGAGGAGAGAGGGGGGTGGAAAGCATGGCGGAGAGAGAGGAGATGGAAAGCATGGAGGGAGAGGGGGAGTGGAAAGATATGGTGGAGAGAGGGGGTGGAAAGCATGGAGAGAGGGGGATGAAAGCATGGAGGAGAGAGGGGTGGAAACCATGGAGGAGAAAGGGGATGGAAAGCATGGCGAGAGAGAGGGATGGAATTTATGGCGGAGAGGGGGGTGGAAAGCATGGAGGAGAGAGGGATGGAAAGCATGGCGGAGAGAGAGGGATGGAAAGCATGGTGGAGAGGAGGGGATGGAAAGCATGGCGGAGAGGGGGGTGGAAAGCATGGCGGAGAGCCAAAAAGTTTATGGTTAGCATGACTAAAGAGATAACCCAAGGTGGATTTGCATACTGAAGATGGAGCCAGGGAAGTGGAATAATTTAACTCTTTTTGTTATGGGGGGTAGAAAGATGGAGAGAAAGGGTAACAAAGAAATTCATGGCATCAGGAGAAAGGTGTCTTGGAAAACATGTTACTAGAAGGAAAAGCAAAAAAAGTGCTGAACTTTTACGTAAAATGTAAAATGGCAGCATGGCCTGACAAGGGGATGGAGACATGGTGGCACAAACAATTCCATGAACAGAAAATGTGAGTCATATAGACGTCTTAAGGGAAATAGAAACAAGTAGAAAGAGACAGCTGGGGGGGGACATAATGAGGCGGAGAGGGTTTGGAGACATTGGATACTCAAATGGAGGAGAGAGGAACTAGAATCAAAAGGGAGACCGGAGTAACTATTAACAATGTCAAAACTATGAAAGAGGGGGGGTAAACATGGAGGAGAAGTTTACTTAGAAAAAGCATGGCGGAGAGAGAGCAATGATCACCTGGAGGAGAGAGAGAGAGAGAAAAATGGTGGTATTTGATCTACCAGGGGATCAAACACTATAGCATGCGGTCTAGAGGTTTATTACTATAGGATGGAGTTTACCGCGTTATCTAAAACTATGGCGTATCAAGGTGGTTTTTCTCTCGTAAAATGGGGATGCTGTTTCATGGTCAAGATGACACGTCGAAAAAATCTTTCAGTAACATTTTAATGGAAAGGCGGTTATGGAGCTGATGTTAACCGTTTTGGACAGAGGATTCTGAGATGGGAGCCCTTTGGATGTGGACAGGACATAAGAGAGGGGATGGACGGTAGAATTTATCGTGGTAGACCGAGGTGTTTGGCACTATGGAGTGAGGAAAGGTTACAATAATTCATAACGGGGAAGAGGAATAGTGATTTTCATGGTGGCTTAGATGTGGAAAGCAATGGCTGAGAGGGCACCCAGTGAGGATCGAAATCTACACAGTCGTAAATTGATCTAAAAGTTTATGGTTATCGACTAAAGAGATAACCCATACTATGGATTTGCATACTGAAGATGTTAAAGCCAAGCAAGTACAATAATTTAACTCTTTGTTATTGTGTAGAAACAGATAACAGAAAGCGTAACACAGAAATTCATAGGTGCATCGGGATAGTGAAAGGTGTCTTGCTGAACATGTTACTAGAAGGAAAAGCAAAAAAAGTGCTGAACTTTTACGTAAAATGTAAAATTTCTTGAATGCCTGACAATTTAGCTTTAGACTTGAAAGTGGATTAAAACAATTCCATGAACAGAAAATGTGATGTAATATAGACGTCTTGGTTGGATTTTTTTTTTTTTTGCTAAAGAAACAAGTAGAAAGAGACAGCTGAAATTTCTGGGGGACATAATGAGGAAAGAGGGTTTGGAACATTTGATACTCAAAGGGTGTCTTGGAGGAACTAGAATCAAAAGGGAGACCGTAAGTAACTATTAACAATGTCAAAACTATGAAAGTGGGACGGTAAAGGATCGAAGTTTACTTAGAACAAAAGGGAAATGAAGTTGTGACTTCAATGATCACCTGTGTCTTATAGGGAAAGAGAGAGAGAAAAAAAAGGCTATTTTTTTTTTACTATAGTATTTGATCTACAACGGTATCTAAAACACTATAGCATGCGGTCTACCTCGTTTATTACTATAGGATGCAGTTTACCGCGTTATCTAACACTATGGCGTATCAAGAAAGAATTTTTTTCTCACGAAAAAGACACTGCTGTTTCCTCGGTCAAGATGACAATCGTCGATGAAAAAAGTTTTTCAGTAACATTTTAATTTGAAGGCGGTTATCCAGCTCAATGTTAACCGTTTCAGACAGAGGGATTCTGATACTCCAGAATTTTTTTTATAAATTTGGACAGGACATAAAAAGAAAATTACCTGACGGTAGAATTTATCGTGGTAGACCGCAGGTGTTTGGCACTAGAAGTGAGGTAAAGGTTACAATAATTCATAACGGGGAAGACCGAATAGTGATTTTCTAAGCCCGGCTTAGATGTGGCACAAGGCCGAAAATATGGGGCACCCAGTGAGGATCGAACTCACTACACAGTCGTAAATTGATCTAGCAAGATAAGCTTTAAGAAAACCATTACACCACGTCGAGGTTCCATACTATGGTAGTAAATAAGGTAGATTGCATAGTACCACTGAAAAAAAAGTACATCAGTGTATGAATATTAACAAAATTGCTCATGGTCACATGCTTTCATTTTAGATAAACTGGTTTCGTGGTTTTAGTTAGAGATCGCGAATTAGTGGAGGTCCCTAAGGTTTGAAAGGAATTTTTAAAAATGAAAAGGTTTCTTGAAGCTTTCATTTTAGCTTTAATTGAAAGCTAAAGGATTAAATTTACTATTTCCCGTAAGCAAAATACACTGATGTATTTTGAACAGCAATTATATTGGTTGGAGTATTTTTTTTTTTTTGCTAAAATAGCTGATTAGTGGTCCCTGCTTTTTAGTCGTCTTTTCATCGCAATGTAATTCTCTTTATTAAAAAAATGATCTTCCAAAAATTTGTTTTCTGAAGCTTTATTTGAAGAATATTAGCCAATTTAAAGCGTAATTAATCTCATTTGAAACCTTTACTTAAAGTTTAAAATACCGCAGAAATAATTGGAGATAATGTGGTATGATGCGGAGGCTAAAAACTTCCATTTTCTAAGAAAAATGATATCTACGACTTCTCACTACGGTATCTTATTGATGCGAGAGAAAACTTCCATTTTTCGCGCTTATTTTTTTTTTTTTACTTTTATACCGCTTTATACAACGCCACCTAACGATAATTAGGAAAAGTCCGCCGACAGACAACATGGGGTAATCTCATATAGGGAAAGTTTCGGACTTATGCCAAGTTTGTATATTTTTATACAATAAATCTCAATCTCATATTGGGAAAGAAATTTTTCAAGACCGAATCGTCTTGATGCGAAAGTTTTTCGACTTCCAATCATCAAACCGCAATCTGCATGAGAAAAGTTTAAGACATGATATTTTTATTTTTAAAAATCAACTTCCATTTTATACCAGAAAAATAACACGACTTCATGCATTTACGAAGACCAATTTTTTGTATAAATTTTAACCTCTACAGAAAAACAAAATTACCTGGTCACAGAAAATGCGTCATTTCTAATCTATTCAAAAAATTACCTGTATCTAGTACGTAAAAAAAAAAACTATCATAAAATCCATTATTACCAGAGTCTACAACACTGTCGTCATCATACTTTACGACCAATTTCGTCTTGATGCGAACAACTTTGAACTTCCATTTAATATCTGTTACACAGCGGTGGTCATGACCAGCTGAGACCATTCCTCGTCTTGAGTGTTTCTAACAAGGTCCCCTTCCATTTAAAAACCGATCTTGTGTCACAACCTGACTTAGGGGGTGGGGGTAAATTTCAAGGCACCAATAAGAAAATTTGACATATACAGGACACTTCCATTTTCAACCAGGACACAAATCTTCGTGTAGTAAATGGATGTTGTGGAATCGTCTTGATTCCACCCTTTCCATTTTCGCACAGAGTATTACAACCTGTCGTCTCACGTTTGGCAAGACCAATATCGCAATAAACCGCTGACGTGAGGAAGGTTCCATTTTCTACCAGAGTCTACGACACTGTCGTCATAAAATCAGACCAATTTGAAAATTTTCCTTCCATTTTCTCTGACGTCACTGTCGTCACAAACTTCGTTTTCTCGTCTTGTCGCCGCGAACCCATTTTCAAACTACAACACTGTTGTCATCATTTTTTCCGTCCCCTTAACCCGAACAACGGGCGGAATTCCATTTTCTAACCAAAACTTCAACATGTCGTCATTACAACTTTTTCAAACAACTCGTTTGATGCGAACTTCTTTCGAACTTTTTTTACTAGAAAACGTTGACGATCGACACTGTCGTCATTCATACTTTTCCAAGACCAATTCTTCGTCTTGATGTGAACAACATGTTTGAACTTTCATTTTCTACCAGAATCTACGACACTGTCGTCATCATACTTTTCAAGACCAAATTCCTCGTCTTGATGCGAACAACTTTCGAACTTCCATTTTCTACCAGAGTCTACAACACTGTCGTCATTATACTTTTCCAAGACCAATTCCTCGTCTTGATGCGAACAACTTTCGAACTTCCATTTTCTACCAGAGTCTACAACACTGTCGTCATCATACTTTTCCAAGACCAATTCCTCGTCTTGATGCGAACAACTTTCGAACTTCCATTTTCTACCAGAGTCTACAACACTGTCGTCATCATACTTTTCCAAGACCAATTCCTCGTCTTGATGCGAACAACTTTCGAACTTCCATTTTCTACAGAGTCTACAACACTGTCGTCATCATACTTTTCCAAGACCAATTCCTCGTCTTGATGCGAACAACTTTCGAACTTCCATTTTCTACCAGAGTCTACAACACTGTCGTCATCATACTTTTCCAAGACCAATTCCTCGTCTTGATGCGAACAACTTTCGAACTTCCATTTTCTACCAGAGTCTACAACACTGTCGTCATCATACTTTTCCAAGACCAATTCCTCGTCTTGATGCGAACAACTCAGAATTTCCTTCACTGAAGATTGATGAACTTTTCATACACCTCTTTTGAATCTAACCTTTACGAACCAGTTTAAAAAAAAGATAACATTACACACACATTATTAAACCTCGCAGTGAGTATTTTTCCTTGTTGTGTATGCTTACATCTTTTGTACAAGAAGACAATATTCCAGAACTTTCCTTCTGAAGAAACTTTTCCCCCCTTAGCCATCTTGGTCTTTCTGTTTTGGCGCGGAACTTTAATATTCTACTAGTCTCTACATATTACTAACGGCCTACAGGCTAAAAACAGACCTTACCTTTTCTGATACTCTCCATTGTTGAGACAAGATTATTTGTTATTAAAATAAAATTTCATATATGTTTTCCACCAGATTCGTTTTGTCGTTTTCTCCTGGCTATCTATATTTTACTATTTTTGTGCATGTGTTAAATGACCCCTTTTCCTCACTAAAGATCACTCATTTAATATTTTTACTTTGTTTGTGGATTCGGTAGTCATAGGTAGTGTCTGGCACAAGGCCACCTTTTAATAAGCCAGCACTGCATGCTATCGGGCCCGCAACAATGTCAAAAAGACAAAATTTACTAACATTATTTAGTATAATTCCTCTTCTCTTCTCCATAAGTGCCTCTAGTTTTCAGTTCTCTAGGTGGGCTGGGATTCCTTTTGTCTTTTTGGGGTTGTTTTCGTCATTGTTATTGTGTCTAAATGAGTGAATGTTTGCATTAATGAATCATTTTACTTTTTAAATTCCGCACTTTATCTTCGTCTGGTTAACTGGTGTTTCTTCCATGATTAGGACGGTGTGTGTTTCTAATACTAACAATCATTTTACTTTGGTTTGTAAATATTTTAATTCTTTGTAAATATTCATTGAGGCATTTTTAAATGATGTTATTTCATCGTTCCTCACCACAAAACAAGGGATCAATAAGGACTCCATAGAGAAATTGCAGTTTTATGGTGTCTACGTTCTAACTAAGATGTATAAATGTTATATTTTGGGGGAAGAAATATTATCATGTGTATGGTTCAATTATTTTAAATAGCTAGGTTAAAAAACAAGACGTTGCCGGCCATTTTAGTCCTTGTGCCATATTCTTTGTTTATTTAGAAAAAGAAATATCCAATCAATCAACAAAATGTCTGCCATTTTAATCGCGTGTTAAATAAGGAAGCAGCAATATTTTTATTTTCATTTAAATCATTCAGCCAAACATGAAAACTCTGGTTAATTTGCAGTGTAACACCTGCACTCAATTCACATTAAAACTTTCCAAAATATTTACGTTTATGTGTAATTGTACATGCTCCATTCGAATCTGGCTTGATAAAATTTGATAAAATCTACCGTTTTGGAGTTATCGACAGTGAAATTTGGGATTCATTCGCGTCGTTGGCGGCAGCCATTACTCGCGTTGTTCGCATACATTCGCTGTGGAAAGCTAAACGCGGAACTGATATTTCTTGTCTAAATTTGTCTCAATTACCGCACACGAAAACTACAAGGTAACCAAAAAAGTTCTGTCCGTTTTTAAAGGAAAAAAAGAAAACGCTTCACAGTATGTGTAACTTATATTTAGTCTTCGAAGTAATCGCCATCGGCATCCAGCACCTTCTGCCAACGTGTCTCCAGCTGTTCAATGCCCTTGCAGTAGAACTCGGGGGGTTTTGACGCAAAGAAGGGCTTTGCGCAAGTCTGCTCCATTGGTGAAGGATTTCCCACAAAGATGATTATCCAGGGAGTGGAAGAGGTGGTAATCGGATGGAGCAAGGTCAGGTGAATAAGGTGGATGGCACAAAGTCTCCCACCTAAGTTGCTGTATGGTATTCCTGACCACTCGCGCGACATGCGGCCTGGCGTTATCATGGAGGAAAAGCACACCTTTGCGATTCACCAGTGCTGGTGCAATGCCTGTTGCACACGTTTCAATTGCTGCGAGTATAGGTCTCCAGTGACCGTTTGGCCCGTTGGTAGCAGTTCATAATGAACCACCAGACACAAAGCATAATCTTGCGTGGATGCATAGTCGGTCTTACGGTGTGAGGGACACCATCCTGAGGAGACAACCAATGTCTGGAACACTTGAGAGTTTCGTACAGAACCCACTTTTCATCACTGGTAAGCATTCGATTGAATAAGGATGCGGTACGGTGGCGAGAAAGCAGCGATACGCAGGCTGCCACTCATTGTCCCTTGTGGACCTCCAACAGCGTTTGCGGAAGCCACTTGCTCAGTTTGTACGTCTTACCTAGGCGGTGCAGGTGAAGTCTAACGGTTTCATCGGAAACGTTGAACTGTCTTGCAAGTTCACCACACGTTAGACTACTGTCCTCTTCAATGGCCGCCTTCAGGACTCCGTCATTCAAGACCTGTGGTCGTCCACTGCGAGGCTCATCATGGAGAGACAAATCTCCCGACTTGAATTTTCGAAACCAACGCCTTGCAGTACGTTCATCCACAGCACTATCCCCAAACGCTTGACATATGCGGTGACTTGATGCAGCTGCTGAGAAGCCCACTTTAAAGTCGTAAAGCAAACAGCCCCGAACGAGATCTCTAGACACTTCCATCCTTCTCACAGCTGTCCGGCTTATAACTGATGATATTCAGTCACCCCACCCCACGAGGGTGTCATGTGGCACAAGGCCTTTTTAACGTGGGCATTTCCGAGCCATTAGGCTCGGCCAAAAAATAGCCCATTTGAACCTGTATAAACGGGTTCAGGGCCGGTTTTACCTCCCGCCCGTAGGAAGAGAGTTCAAACCGAGCAGTCGGTTCAAAAGTGAACGACTTATAACTGATGGCCAGGCATGGTGCGCGTGTTTTTTTATAACGTCTGATGTTCCTACTTCCGGCTGTCTGAATTTGAAAACAATTGCTACACGCATTTTGTGTATATCTCAACTTCATTCAATGACTAATCAAAAAACAGACAGAACTTTTTTGGTTACCTTGTATTTACGTACACACACTCAGTTTGCGCAATGATACCTACACTGATAGTTATTATGCAGCGAATGTATATAAACAACGTCAGTAATGGCTGTCCGCGACGCGAATTTTCATTGTCGATGACTCCAAAACTGTAGATTTTATCAAGCCAAATTCTAATGGAGCATGTACAATTACACATAAATTTAAGTATTCTGGAAACTTTTGATGCGAAATGAATGCAGGTGTTACACTGCAAATTAACCGAAACTCCTTCTATGTACTTTTTTCTTTCTTAACGATTTTTTGATTCTTGATAAATTTTCTAAATTCTTGTCAGTTTCTCAAAAATGTCAGGATAGTTCGGTCGTTGACTTGCTTAAGCCTTCTTTTATTTTTTTTTTATTTTTTACATAAATTAATCTACATTATTTACATTATTCGGACTATTGTTCTCATCTTTGTCGCCATATTTATTACAACGTTTCGGCCTTTGTATGCTCGGGCCTTCTTCAGGTGGATGGAATGTCGAACTGAACCCTTTATTTTGCTCACTGGGGTAGACTGTTCTAGTTCCACGTGCCACGTTTAATGGATGTCATTTATCAGTTATCTCCCCAGTGAGCGAAATAAAGGGTTCAGTTTGACATTACAACCATTTGAAGAAGGCCGGAGCGTACAGCGGCCAAAACGTTGTAATAAATATGGCGAAAAAGAGGAGGACAATAGTCCGAATAATGTAAATAATGTACATAATGCCTCATCTCAGAAATATAGGCAGCTAAATTATTATTATTTTTTTTTGCATATTATATTTTTTTTAAATATATATTTTTTTACATATTATATTTTTTCTACATATTATATATATTTTTTTACATATATTTTTTTTACATGAAAATATTCAGCTTGTGTTTTTACATAAAAAAATATATATATATTTATTAAATCCCCTAGAATGTCATAAAATTTCATCTGGTGAAGATTTCTTCTGTTGTTTCTTCCAATAAGGACGGTGAGTGTTTCTAATACTAACAATCGTTTTGTTTTTGGTCTGTAAATGCAGAAACATTTTTAAATGTTATTTTATCATCCCCGAGCACCACAAAAATTAAAAGAAATATGCAGTCAGTCACCAAGATGTCTGCCATTTTTATCACATGTTAGATTAAGGAAGCAGCAGTATTTGCTGTATCTTTTCTTTTTTTCTTTTTCTTACAAATTTCTGAATCTTGATAAATCCTCTAAAATTTCTTCAGTTTCTCAAAAATGTCAGTTTAGTACGGTCGTTGAGTTGTAAACCGAAAATTTTTTTTTTATTTTGTTGTAATTTTTTTTTTCTTTTTTTTACACATAAGAAATATTTTTTACATTGTTCGGACTGTTGCCCTCATCTTTATTGTCATAGTCACGACGTTTCGGCTATTGTACGCCTCGGCCTTCTTCAGGTGATATACGTTGAAATTCTGAATCGAACCCTTTATTCCGTCCACCGGGGTGGATTGTTCCAGTTCCACGTGCCACGCCTTTTCTGGATATCCTAGTTTTAGTTATTCTCCTGTAGTAACTCAACTCTCTAAGTTTTTGTTTACCTCTGCTGTGGCAGGGGATTGAACTCACAACTCTTTGGGTCAAGTCACCCGATTATTTCAACCAACGCTTTTATCCACTGGGTTATGTGTCCTTGGGAGATCCAGGATAAGGCATGACACGTAGAAATTAGAACAATCTACCCCAGTGGATGAAATAAAGAGTTCGGTTCAAAATCCCAACGTATATCATCTGAAGAAGGCCGGAGAGTACAACGGGCGAAACGCCGTGAATGTGACATTAAACATGAGAACAGTCCGAACAATGTAAATAGTTACAATACCCCCTCTCAGAAATATAGACCGAAGAAATTTTTTAATCACCTAGAGACGACATAAAAGTTTTACTTGATGCTAGTAGGATATACTGACGGCAAGAGGGGCAGAAAAAAGCAGCGTAAAACCTACCTAATTACCTGGCACATGAGTCCGCTTTTAGCTAGAAGTGGAATAAACTTCGCCTCATTTTAAATGGGGGAGGGATGGCGTCAGGTCCTGAGAATTTCAACTCTGCGACAATACCTTACTCATTGTACAAAGAGAAGTGGAGTCGGTGTAATCTCGGTGAGTGTGGCCACGAGGACTGGGCAGTTTTTCTCCTTGGCCCATCAGCATACGCATGTGTCGGGCGCTCCCTAAGTTGAAACGACCTTGTGTCATATCCGGATAAATACATACCCAGTGATCTTGGGTAAATGGATGGCAGAACAACGTTTAGGAGACATAACGAAAAATTAAAATTTGCCTAGATCTACAAAGGGCAGAAAATTGTGGAGAGCCATAATTGCCAGCGTACTGAACAGGCGTGGCATATCCAAGGAGAATGAGTGACAAAACTAGAAATATAATGATAGTAATAGGTGTTTACAAAAGTTTCGACCTATCTTTAATTTTTTTTAATCTATCTATCTATCTATCTATTATATTTATACTACCTATTCTTTTATTTATTGCCATCTATCTATCTATCTATCTATCTATCTATCTATCTATTTATATTTATCTACCTAGTTTTTATTTATACATCTATCTATTATCTATTATTTATCTATCTAAGTTTATATTTATACTATCTATCTATCTATCTATCTATCTATCTATCTCAGTTTATATTTATACTACCTATTTTTTATTTATTGCCATCTATCTATCTATCTATCTATCTATCTATCTATCTATCTATCAGTTTATATTTATACTACCTATTTTTTAATTTTATATATTATATCTATCTATCTATCTATCTATCTAAGTTTATATTTATCTATCTATCTATCTATCTATCTATCTATCTCAGTTTATATTTATACTACCTATTCTTTTATTTATTGCCATCTATCTATCTATCTATCTATCTATCTATCTATCTATCTATCTCAGTTTATATCTATCTATCTATCTATCTATCTATCTATCTATCTATCTCAGTTTATATTTATACTATCTATTTTATTTATTGCCATCTATCTATCTATCTATCTCAGTTTATATTTATACTACCTATTTTTTATTTATTGCCATCTATCTATCTATCTATCTATCTATCTATCTATCTATCTATCTATCTAAGTTTATATTTATACTATCTATCTATCTATCTATCTATCTCAGTTTATATTTATACTACCTATTCTTTTATTTATTGCCATCTATCTATCTATCTATCTATCTATCTATCTATCTATCTATCTATCTATCTATCTCAGTTTATATCTATCTATCTATCTATCTATCTATCTATCTATCTATCTATCTATCTATCTCAGTTTGGACACATTTATCTTTATACTTACTATCAGAAAGAAGAGAGGAAAATAATCGTATACCTAACCAGCTTGTTTGCAAAACAGATGGGGAGATAGCAAAAAGACAAAATTTACTAATAAGTACAAAGGATAGAAAGTTGTGGAGACCCATGAATGCCGACACTTTTAATGGGCATTGCACATAGAAGAAATGGTGCTATATAGTAAAGCATACACTACTATCTCCTAACCCTAATAGTTGTTACACTTAGTGTATGGCATGTATATGCAAATGCAACAAAGGTTGTATTATTTTGTTTTCTGGTCGTATTTCTAACGCGACGACATTGTCTCCTTGAACAATTCAATTATATGATTAAATAATATATGCTACACACATCTTTTTTTCTTGTTATTACATTGACATATCTCTAAATTATTATCAGCTTTCTTTCATTCAGTTACACGGTAATAATCTTGTTACTGGTAAAATCAGCAAATTCCCAATGTAATCTTGAATCCACTCACGAATGTCTTTGCATGACGCCATGTTTATTTCCCGGGAATATTTAAATTGTTGGATATTTACCGACAATTGTGGTTAGGATTTTATTGAAAATAATTTTGGTAACTATATTATCGTAGTTCAGCGTCCCAAATTATTGCAATTAAGTGCATGCAATCGATTAAATGTATTTAAAAAAATAACTTTTCAATTCCTTGTTTTTTTTTTTTTCGACAGTATTTTTTTATTCACAAAATTTCGAACAAAAAACCCAACTTTCTTTCAAATCTGAGTAAAAAAAAAAGCAACCTATTTCTATAGTGTTTCGAGCCGAAGACAGAAGCGAGTAAGAATTAACTCACTAAAATTACACTATTTACATTATTCGGACTATCATCCTCATCTTTGTCGCCATATTTATTACAACGTTTCGGTCGAACTGAACCATTTATTTCGCTTACTGGGGTAGACTGTTCGAGTTCCACCTGCCATGTTTAATGGATGTCAGTTATCAGTTATATCCTGTTAATTCCCCTCTGAAAGTTCTCCACTGCCGTAACCAGGTATTGAACTCACACTTTTTGGGTCCTGTCACTAGATCTAACTAAGGCCTTTATCCACTGCTAGTTCGACATTCCAACCACCCGAAGAAGGCTATTGTAATAAATATGGCGACAAAGATGAGAACAATAGTATGAATAATGTAAATAGTGTACATAATACCTCATCTCAGAAATATAGACAGATCACTAAAATTAGTTCACCATTTTCATGGGTAGCGTCGAGTTAAAATAGCTGATGAAAGAATTGTGTTTATTTTATCTCTGGATTTTTGTTTTAAATTATAAATATTGTTTATATTAGATTCAATATTTGCTCAGTTAATAATTTGTGGTAACTGTTATGAATAATCAAGAGTGGTCTGCCCTTCTTTTGTTGCTCTCCTCTTTGAGAGAGCTATTTCTGTTTACAGGGACTATAAAAGGACACTATATGTATTTTCAGTTGAATATGTCGGAGTTAGCTTTTCCTTAATTCTCAAATTGTCACTAGGGGTCTCTCTCCCTATACTATAAATACTGGGAAACTTCTCGCCTCTTTCTCGTCTTCTTTCTTCATTTCAGCGAACACCGCTGCTATGTGAGCTCTCGCAAAAGACAGCGTTTTCCACTTCTGGGAAGACGCTATGAACATTACAAACATACACGTACATACGAACATTCACCAAAGTACGAACAATCACCAAAGAACAAACACACATGTTCGCACACAAACACAAGTATTATTGTCTATTATTGTAAAATTGTTTTGTTTAATACATATATTTGTTGACATATATATATATATATATATATATATATATATATATATATATATATATAACGGTCTTGTTTGTTTGTTTGTCTTGTTTATCTTCAGTTGGACCTAATTCAAGTCCGACCATTTCGTTTTTTTTTGTAGTTGGACCTTTTAATATTCTACCAGGAGTTACATACGTGTCCCTAATACAACAGTATACAAAAACACACGGTCCCCCACAAATAAAGCTTTCTTAAAGCCTACATCTATGTACTTTTGTCATTACACTAACTCCGTGCCCTCAGAACCATCGTGATCATTTCAGACGATAAACTACAAGATTATCATTGGCGACGACATTACCTTGAGGAAAATTATGGAATCGCCATACTTACAGAGTGTTCATCCAGCATTTTCTTTTTTTAATTCATAGCAAAGAACCAAATTGCAGACGACACAAAACAATTCTCACGGTTGAACATTTCAGTTTATCTAAACGTACCTCAGATTAAATTCAATTGTTTAAAATAATTAGATTTTTTTTATCTACACCAGCAGTGGCGGACTGGCCAGAGTGTCAGTTTGCTCGATGATAAGTGGCCCCCAAATAAAATAAAAATTCAATAAAGAAACAGACAACTATTTTAGTAATTAAAAGGAATAAAATCTTATAAATATATTATAAAATCAACTGCACACTCTCAGTGAAAGAGCATTTTGTTTGAGTGATTTGTTTTCTATGGCTTATCAACCCGTTTTTAGGTTATTTAAGAGAGGCCAGGATGATTTCTTGGTAACGAAGAAAAGAACACTGAGCTGTTACGTGACCTTCTTTACGGCAGCGAATGTTGGACGATTTCCTCAAAGATGAAGAAGAGACTCGAAGCAACAGAGATGTGGTTCTACAGAAGAATGCTAAGGATATCATGGACTGAACATATTGAGATGGCCAAGGACACATTCCCTAAGTTGGGTAGAGTATTGTGAGACAGGAGGATTTCTTTGCTAACAAAGAAAAGAATACTTAGCTGTTACATAACATCTGTCCTTTACTGCAGCAAATTTTGGATGATTTCCTCAAAGTTGAAGAAGAGACTCTAGGCAACAGAGATATGGTTCTACAGAAGGATGGTAAAGATATCATGAACTGAGCATGTGAGCAATGATGGGGTCTTAGAGAAGGTGTAAACAAGGAAGGGGCTTATACTTAACACCAGGAAGATGCAGCTGAAGTTTCTGCGATACATAATGGAGAATAGAGGGCCTGGAGAATCTGATACTCATGGGTCGAATAGAGGGAAAGAGTGACCAAGGAAAAAAACGCATGACATACCTGGCGGGCTTAAGCAAGTGAATGACAGAATGTGATGTGGGGGGGGGAGGTAGCAGAGGGAAGGAACTTGTTGAGATCTGCAAGGATGGAAGAAGGTGGAGAGCCATGATCGCCTACGTCCTGAAAGGACACAGCACACAGAAAGAAAAAGGACATCTTCAAAGCTAAATATCATAAAGACATGGTTAAGCAATTAGCTGTTCGAGGAGCATTTAGAATCACACATGTTGCTATCTGCTGAAAAGGATATTTTAGATGAATTGTATGCAGAAGCAATTATTGACAGATTTGCACAATTATATAGTGAACACAAACGATTGCTCTTAATATAGTGGACTGCATGCAATGCTATATTGTGCTCTATTAACCAAATGCATAAAATAAATTAAAGATTCAATTCTGTATTTACATTTAGTATCTCCCGCTAGTAATATGTACAGTACATGTACACTGTGGGAAAATGAAATAAAATCGATAAATCATACTTATTATAAAACCCAGGTATGTGTGTGTGTGTGTGTCTGTGTACGTTTATATATTGGA